TCTATGTGGGTGTTTGACTCAAACATCAACGACGAGGAATCAGGAACGCAAGTCATTTTGGAGCTAATCTCAGATTATTTTCACGACCTAGACCAGATAATCATGATATCAGTAAATAGTTGCTATAAATGTTACTGCATTGTCGTCACAGATAATTATGATTAGGAAGCTGGCTGCTTCGACATTATCTGTGACGGAACAGACCGTGATGGACACAACAAATTCAATCTGATACTCGAGAAAAAAAGCGCAACTCTCCCCTTCACCACCACCAACACATCTACATCCACCCTCTCCACCCCACCCCCCCCCCACCTCTACATACACATCCAAATCCACATTCACATCTATCCCCACATCTACACCACTACCTCCATTTCCACCTCCACATCCACCTCCACATCCGCAATCACGTCCACCTCCACATCCACATCAACCTCCACATCCACCACCTTATCCACCTCTACATCCACCTCCACATCCACCACCTCATCAACATCCACATCCACCTCCACATCCACATCCACATCCACATCCACCTCCACATCCACATCCACGACTTCATACACCTCTACATCCACCTACACATCCTTCCCCACCTCTACATCCACCTCCACGTCCACATTCACACCCACCTCCACATCCACATCCACATCCTCCTTCACATCCACCTTAACATCCTTTTCCACATCCACATACACCCCCACTTCCATATCCACATCCACTTCCACCTTCACACCCCCTTCACATCCACCTCCACTTCCACAGCCCCATCCACACCCACCCTCACATCCATCTCCACCTCCACCTCCACATCCACCTCCACATCTACATCAACATCCACCTCCACATCGACTTCCACATCTACCTTCACCTCCACCTTCACCTCCACCCCATGCCCACCTCCACCTCCACATCCACCCCCACATCCACCTCAACCTTCACCTTCACATCCACGTTCACATTTACTTCCACATCCACATCAACATCCACCTTCACATCCACATCCACCTTCACATCCACATCCACATCCACCCTCACCTCCATCTCCACCTCCACCTCCACTTCCCCATCCACTTCCACATCCACCCCCACTTCCACCTCGACCTTCACCTCCACCTACACCTTCACCTACACCTCCTTCTTCACCTCCACATTCACATCTACCTCTACCTCACGCTCCACTTCCTCTTCCACCTCAACCTCCATCTCAGGAAGAAAACCCTTGTTTTTCTTCGTGCTAGGCACAAAGCCAAACCATGATATCATAGAACAGAAGCTGGTGGAAAGAGGGGGCCATATCAATCATTGCCAAATACCGTATCCGCTTTACAAAGCTCTTAGTTTAGTGTGGTTTTAGGGCACTTGCAACACATTTTGGTCATAAATGTGCCAAAGATTAGGGGTGTTACAAGAGAGTAACAACCATCAAAAAGGAGGAGAGATAAGGACGAAAGATGTTTGATAGGAAAGACGAAACAATCCACACCAGAGCACACGCTAACCACTTGCTGTAGAGCTCTGTGGTGCAGCAAGTCACAAACTTAACAAGTACGCAGAAAAATCAAATTTATTCATCATCTATCTAAAAAGGCACTCCACCTGTCTCTGATCTTGACAATCTCCACTCCTCAAGCCAGCTGTGTCCCACATGTCTGAGTTCTGCCTCCAGATCATCTCGTTCTCTGGCACAGCTCTGTTTTTCCTCTCTTCCTCTTTCTTGACACTGTTGTTGTGGTTGTCGTTGTTGTTGTTGTTGTTGTTGTTGCTGTTGTTGTTGTTGTTGCTGTTGTTGTTGTTGTTGTTGCTGTTGTTGTTGTTGTTGTTATTCTAGTTATTGTTGTCGTT